GCCCGGGGTGGCCAGCCCGGCTGGGTTCGGCCCGCCGTACCCGAGGTGCCCAGCGTCCCCCGCCCGCCGGACTCCTCGGGGCGCCTTCCGGCGGGGCTTAAGGACCGCTGCCCGGACCGTGGCCCCGGACTTGCGAGGGTGGTGCTCGCAAGCAGAGGCCCGGCCTGGGACCTGGGGCCTGGGCTGACAACCACCTTCCCGGGCCCATGTTACGACACACTCCTTTGGGTTTAGCAGGCCTGCTAAGAACCTCCAGTTTCTAGGCGGTTCCTCGGGGCCTGAGTGTCTCCAACCCTTAGACTCCACAGGACTCCTTGGGGCGAAGGCCGCTTTCCTGGGGTGGGCAGGGACGCTCGGGAGTTTGGGGAGGGAACAGAGGGGAGTGGGGGGAAGGGTTTTTTTTGTGGTCAATATCAATTTTCCGTCGATTTTGGCTTTTTGTTTAGGTAGAGGCTTTTTTCCTCTAGGCTGCCAGTTGGATGGTATACGAGAAACAGTACCATTCTTCCTGTTAATGAACTCTTTTTTAAGTCATTTTTTCTCATTTGACCCTTCCATGGAGCAGAAGCAAATTGCGTGAAATTACCTCCAAGGATTACATTTATTACTGGCCAATGAGAACCCCTCGCCTTGTTTTACAAACTCTTAATCCTATGTCATTCTGATGCCGCAAACAAGCCCGGTCCTGGGCCTCCTATTCTTTCAACTTTCCCCAGCTGGAGGGACCTCATTCTGCACTTAATATTCCCCGTAAATATCACACGCTAAAGACCCCCTGACTTCCAGCAAGTCCACATTAAACATGTGACATGTCACGCATGACAAACTCTGAGTATCTTTTCAAAGCAGCATTAAAAGCAAAGAAACCAATTTTCTTCTCCTTCCAAACCTCCCCAAGTGCTGAATGATGCGGATTGGAAAGAGCCACTGGAGCGTACTTAGGGGGATTTTATGAGATTTTCCAGAATGATTTAATCTTATTGTGAGCATTATTAATGAATGGCAACCCAATTTGGCCCCAATATCTGGGAACACGGTCACAATGCTGGGAGCGGCTGACCCC